TTTTAATATAATCAAATATAAATAATATATATTTTTTAATCAATATTTCAATAAAAAAATTCGCCTTTAAATTCAATATTTGGTATAATATTAATTCGCTTTATATAAACTATTTTTCAACAATTTTTTTATTTTTTTGTTAAAAATATCTTACTAGAAGTTAATAAAACCTAAAAGCAATATTTTAATATCGACAATTTAAAATATACCTAAAAAAGATTGTTTCTATTTATTCGAAATTTTTTAATTTTTTTAAAAAAAAAGTATTATATTTAATTAAATTGTGTTTTAAATTATTTAAATTATTATTTTAAATAATTAACATTCACGCGTTAATTTCTTTTTAACAAATAATTTCATAAATTATATTAATTTACCATGCCTCATTAAATTCTCAAATTTTCTCCTTAAATATAACTCAAATTTATAATTTTTTATTTATATAAAACTTTTAATAAATAACCTTTATGAAGTTTTATTGTATCATCCATATAAGTAAATGTGTTAATTGTTTCTAATGCTTTGGTTTAAAATGTTTATTAATAAACCAAAATTTTATGTTTATGATAAATTAATTTTATTTTAATTTTATTATACATATAAAATAGATCAAAATATTTGATATTTTTTGTAAAAAACAACTAAAATTTTATTTATTATCAAAAATTTTTAAATTTTATAAATATTAATTACATACTTTTTAATTCAATATAATCTCATTAAAAAATAAACCTTGTATTGTTAAAAAAACTAATTTCATTTAGTGGTTTTGAACATTTCTACTTTCTCTTGTATAAAATTTTTTATTTTTTATATCTTAAAATTGTTAAAAAGTAATTTTAAAATATATAAAAGTTTTTTAAATCTAATAAACATGAATTTATTTTTAAGATGATTAGAGATTAATTACAATATTAAACTTTATTTATTTTAAATTAACTTCATCTAAAACTTGTTTTATATTACTCATAACTACACATTTTTTAAAACAGTTTTTTAATAAAAAATTATTCTAACGGAATTAAAACTGTAAGATTTTTTAATACTATTTAAACATGTTATAAAATATTTATTTATAAATATTTTTGAGTTTAATTAAAATATTAAAAAGTTATACTAATCTTCTATTTCTTGGTTTAATTGTATAAATTTTACTTTATGATTATTTTAATTTATAAAGGTAAATTTTTGTTTTTCAATTTAGTTTCACGTCGTTTATATTATAAAAAATACAAATCTTATTTTAGTTCGATATTTTATTATTTATTATTCTTAAAGAGGTTTTTTCCCATTCATAAATATATCTTTTTAATGATTATTAATAACTTTAATCGATTGAGTTGAATTTAATTAACATTTTTGAAATTTTTTTAAAAAGATATTCTAAGTTTTCTATCATACTGTCTTTATAAATTATGAAAAAGATGGGACCGAATTTTTATTTAAAACTATTTTCTCATTCAATGTGTATAACCAATAAAATTATTTTTAAATTTATTTATTATTTTCACATAAAAATTTGGCATCGAGTTTACAAGTTAAAAACTTAAACTTACTTTTCATAAAAATAACTTTAAACAAATTTTTGCTATTATAATTTATTATAACTAAAATATAAAAGAGTTTTAACTATCACAATTTTTTATCATTAAACCCATTCTTTTTTAATATAATAAAATTAAGTAAAAAAACAAGATTTATTTACTTCAACAACTCACAATATAAAACTAAAAATTAATATAAATTTTCAAAAAGCGAGCCTTTAAAACATTTTTTATATAGTTTAAAATATTTTGAATAGACAACCCACGGGTTTGGATGTTTTGTAAAAAATTACATTTTTCTATAGCTAAAAAAGTCTTATATTTTAAAAAAATAATTAGTAAAACACTCTAAATTATCCACTTCCAACTATCGAAAGGCTTTAGCTAAAAATTTTCAATATTTTTTGAAGGATTTTTCCCTTAAATACATCTAAATTTTTGAAAATAATAAATTAAAATCAATTGAACTATTCTCTTTACCAACATAGATCAATAATTATCTTAATATGAAAAATTTGAAAAGAAGTTGTTGGTTGCTCTGCTTCGTGCTATCTCTTAATTTATCATTTCATTTTTGATTTTAAAATCTTTTATAATATAAGAGTTTCAATCTAAAGTTAAATCCTGATAGTCGACTATTAAAACATTACAATCAAATAAGATCAAAGATTTAGTATTGTAATATAGTCACTCTAGAAAAAAAAGTCTGGAATGAGATCAAAAAGAATAAATAACTTTAAAAGAAAGGGGAAAAATCTTATTTAAAGTTTTCGCTGGTTTATCAAAAAAACATCTCTAACGCGTTTTCCATGAACTACAAAAAGATTTTAAATTGAAATATATTTTCTTAGAACATGTGATATTCATGTAAAATTATGTGACTAAAACAGATGTTTAAAGTTGATATTTAAACAAAAAGAAATGGTTTTTGTTTGGCTAAACAGAAACTGATTGTAAAGACTTATCGATTTAGATGATAGAGTACCTGAAACAGTTGATATTAGTGTAGTTCTATTCATAAAATTTCACTATCTTAGAAAGTTATATCTAATTTTAAGTAGATTATAATAGTACTCAAGCGTAAAAGTTGTTTACATGTTTAAAATAAAGCTCGTCAATATATATTGGTAAGTTTAGAAAAATGAGAAACAATAAAAAGATATTAACGTTGTATTTTTAAATGAATAAAGTTTACCATATCAATGAGTTAAAACTTAAAGCGTTCATTCATAGATTTATTTGCTTATTTACTATCTATATAGAAAAACAAGAAACAAAAACATGTTTTTACTAATGTTAATAAATATAGCATATTAAACCATGAAAATTCATATATGAGTTATTTATAATAAAACCTTTACAACTTATTTTCTAGAACTTTACATAAAATACATGATAACAATATTGACAACCAGTGTTTATTTTTTATAATTTAAGAATTCATCACTGTTTAAGACGTGTTAAAATATATAAAGTTTTTGGATTGAAATTAGTTTATTTACTCCAGCCTATATATATCTTATTAAAAAATAATTTTTTAAAAAACATACTTTTAAGTGGTGTTGCGACATTTGAAACTTTGTTAAAACTAAATAAAAATCAAATTCAATAAACATTTTTTAACTAATACTAATTTTTTTTACAAAAAAGTTAAATTTTGTTATTCGTTTTGTTGAAGGTGAAATTAACATTAAAAAAATCGATTGTCAACTTTATTACATTAGTTTTATAGTAAATTGTAAACATTTGAGTTTTGATCAAAATTCTTTTATAGATCTGTTTTAATTTTGATATTTATATAAAAATATTTTTTGATCTAATTGATTACTAGTTTTATTAGTTTAAAGATGACTTGCCTAGATTTAAACAAATT